CACTACGGAAGTAGATTGCCCAACCTTCCTTCCAAGGAGTGGCTGGACTTTCCAGGGACATAAAAGACCCATACAAAGAAAACCACAAAACATTACTACAAGAAACTACAAGAAAGCTGCGTAAATGGAAGAACATGCCACGTTTATGGATAGGAAGACTGACTATTGTGAAAATGTCAATACTACCCAAAGAAATCAATACATTCAATGGAATACTGATCCAGATTCCATCAACATTCTTTAAGGACATAGAAAAGCCAATCACTAACTTCATATGGAGAGAAAAGAGACTTTGGATAAGCAAAGCACTGCTGAAGAAGAAAAACAAAGTAGGAGGTCTCATGCTCCCCAATCACAAAACCTTCTATGCAGCCATAGTAGTCAAAACAGTGTGGTATTGGTACAATGACAGACAAATAGACCAATACAATAGAATCAAAAGCCCAGAAATAGATCAAGGGCCAAAGCCCATTAAATGGTGGAGAGATAACCTCTTTAACAAATTGTTGTTGTTGTTAGGTGCCGGCAAGTCATCTCCGACTCATAGCCAACTCATGTACAGCAGAATGAAACACTGCCTGGTCCTGTGCCAGCCCCACGATCTTTGCTATACCTGAGCCCATTGTTGCAGCCACTGTTTCAATCCGTCTCATGGAGGGCCATCCCCTTTTTCATTGTCCCTCCACTTTGCCAAGCACGATATCCTTCTCCAGGGAATGTTCGATTCTTACAACATGACCAAAATAGGTGAGATGAAGTTTAGCCATTCTTGCTTCCAAGGAGCATTCTGGCTGCACTTCTTCCAGGACAGATTTGTTAGTTCTTCTAGCAGTCCATGGTACTTTTAGCATTCTTTGCCAGCACCACAACTGAAAAGCATCAACTCTTCTTTGGTCCTCCTTTTTTATTGTCCAGCTCTCACATGCATATGAGGTAATTGAAAATACCATGGCTTGTGTCAAGAACACCTTAGTCTTCAAGGAAACATCTTTATTCTTCAGCACTTGAAAGAGGTCCTACAAGCAGATTTGCCCTATGCTATACAATGTTCAATGTCTTGACTGCTGCTTCCATTGGTGCTGATTTTAGAACCAAGTAATATGAAGTCTTTGACAACTTCAGTCTTTTCTCCATTTATCATGATGCTGCTTATTAGTCCTGTTGTGTGGATCATAACAAATTATGGATAACATTGAGAAGAATGGGAATTCCAGAACACTTAATTGTGCTCATGAAGAACTTGTACATAGAAAAGGAGGCTGTTATTCAAACAGAACAAGGGGACACTGCATGGTTTAAAATTAAGAAGGGAGTGTGTCAGGGTTATATCCTTTCACCATACTTATTCAATCTTATGCTGAACGAAAAATCCAAGAAGCTGGACCGTATGAAGAAGAACAGGGCATCAGGATTGGAGGAAGACTCATTAACAACCTATGTTACTGCAGATGACACAACTTTGCTCGCTGAAAGTGAGGATGACTTGAAACACTTACTGATGAAGATTGAAGACTACCAACTCCAGTATGGATTACCTCAATATAAAGAAAACAAAAATATATTTTACAGATGGTGCTGGCAAAATTGGATAGCCACTTGCAGAAAAATGAAACAAGACCCATACCTCACCCCGTACACAAAAACGAACTCAAGTTGGATCAAACACTTGGTTTTAAATGTAAAACCCCAAACCATAAAGTTCATCACAGATAAAATAGGGGCAAATCTAGGGTCCCTAATTTATAGCCTAAATAGACTTATCAAGCATAACCCAAAATGTACAAGCAACAGAAGAGAAACTAGATGATTGGAACCTTTTAAAAATTAAATTCTTATATGCATCAAAAGACTTCTCCGAAAGGGTAAAAGAGAACCTACAGATTGGAATAAATATTTGGCTATGACATATATGGCAAGAGACTTATCCTTAAAGTTTATAGAGAACTTCAACACCTCAACACCAAAAAGACAATCCAATTCAAAAGTGGGCAAGGACATGAACAGACATTTCACTAACACAGATATATAGGCAGCCAACAAACACATGAGGAAATGCTCACAGTCATTAGCCATTAGAGAGATGCAAATCAAAATAACAGGGCAATATCATCTCACCCCAGCAATAATAGAAAAGTTCAACAAGAGAGAAAATAACAAATGCTGGTGAGGGTGTGTAGAGATTGGAACTCTCATACACTGCTTGTGGGACTGTAAAATGGTATGTTGTTGTTGTTGTTGTTGTTATGTGCCATCGAGTCAGAGTCGACGCATAGCGACCCCTCCTTGAATTGCCGAGGCTGTATCACTACGGAAATAGACTGCCCAGCCTTCCTTCTGAAGAGTGGCTGGTGGATTTGAACCGCCCGCCTCCTGGTTAGCAGTCAAGTGCCTTAGGCACTATGCTACCAGAGATCCTGTAAAATGATATAGCCACTGTGGAAAAATGGTATGGCTTTTCCTTAAAAAACTGAAAATAGAAATACCATTTGATCCAGCAATTCTTTCTTTTTGTTTATATAAATCCGGGCATAAAATCAAATGTGCATGAACTGTCGAGTGTAAAATGAATTTGCTTTGTAAATTTGCACCCAAAGCACAATAAGAGAAACAGTTTTAAAAAATAAGATATAGACAAAAGAGGCAAATACTGTTACATGCACTGTATTGCATTACCAGTGGCACCAAACATTAGGCTATGGGTAAATGCATAGACAGGTGGGAATATTAGGTGGGGGTAGGCAAACAGGAATGTAACCAAGACCAAGGATAGATTTGGCTGAAGGTAGTCTTACATATGTACTTGTGCTACAAAATTATCCATATACAGTACAGAAGTTACAGAGGACAAGGTTGGAGTAGCTTCTCAGAGACAACCAAACACCTTGAGGGAGAGAATCATTGGGACTGCAGGCTCAGGACCACAGTCTCAGGGAATATCATGCTCAACTGGCACAACATAGTATATAAAAATCTGTTCTATGTCCTACTTTGGTGAGTAGTGACTGGGGTCTTAAAAGCTTTCAAGCGGCCATCTGAGATGTAGCTATTGATCTCCTCTCATCTGGAGCAAAGAAGACTGAAGAAAATCAAAGTCATTTGGTAAACAATTATCCCAAAGATATGATGGACCATGAGGACCTCAGCCTTCATGGCCCTGAGACCAGAACTGGATGGTGCCAGGCTACCAATGCCAACCAGTCAGAAAGAGATCAAAATTGGAGATCCTAGATAGAGTGGGAGGGAAAATGTGGAACAAAATTCAAAAACACAAAACTGACCAGAATTACTGGTCAGATAGAGAATGTGGAACCCCTAAGCCTATGGCCCTGAGTTATTCTTCAGGCCTGGAGATAGACTCACTTCTGTAGATTGGTTTTCAGCCCAACAGTAGAAAGACCTACAAGCAGAACACCTACCCAGGAGATGCACCCCTTAGATCAATCAATCATGAGACATCAGAAGGGCAGCATTCACATAGAGAAAAACTGAACAGACAGGAATGCATAAGGACACAGGGAAGGGATTGTCACGGGGAGGAGAGGAGGAGAACTCTTTATAGTGGGGATTGTGATCAGGGCCATGAAATCAAATGTGCATGAACTGTTGAGAGTAAAATAAATCTGCCTTGTAAATTTCCACCCAAATAACAAGGAAAAAAAAAAGAAAAATTTTTGTAAGGATGAACTATTCTGAATCTACAGCTGCTTCTGCTATTTTTGGTTGGTTATCATAAAGGATACTTTTTTGTTGTTCCTCCTAGAATTAAACTCTTAAAATGATCTGAGAATCAAACTACCATGCTGTACTCTGGTCCCGGTATTGTCTCTGTCCACACCCACCCAAAATGGGCTTGCCTCCTTTCCCAGAGGCCAGGGTTTTGCCAGGAAGGAGGATACATGGTGCACATATGGAGATAACTCATCTGAGAATTTCCTCTAGAGGAACACCAAAAACAGATTTTACAACATACCCTCCTTTGAGGACATTGAGAGGCCATCTGATGCCATGAGTTCTGGAGCCCAACTGCCTATCTGTGTTCAAATCCTACTTCTGCCATTTACTAGCTGGGTTAATTTGGGAAAGCCACTTAACCCCTTTGTGCCTCAGTCTCTTCTGTAACATGAGTACACTAATGATGTCATACTCATTGGGTCATAACAACATATATGTAAAGCACTTAGAGAAATTACCTGTTATTGTTGTAGCTGTTGTCAGCTGCCATCAAGTCTACTCCAGCTCATATACACATGGCCTAATGTGCTCCAACCTTGTGTATTTGCAACAGAGCAAAACATTGCTCAGTCCTGCATCATCCTCAAAATTACCAACATGTTACAGCTGTCATGCCAATCCATATCACCAAGGATCTCCTATGCCTTCATTCATCCTCTACTTCACCAACCATGATGTCCTCCTCTAGCAATTGATTCCTCCTGAAGATATGTCCAAAACAAGCAAGTTATACAGTGTTCTGCTGTGATCTGTAAGGCTGTCATTGGCTAATTTTCATAAATAGATTGCCAGGTCTTTCTTCTTTTCTGTCTTGGTCTGAAAGCTCCACTGAAACCTATCCACTGTGGTGACCCTGCTTGTATTTGAAATACTGTGGCATAGTTTCCAACATCACAGCTACATACATGCCACAACAGTAAGACAATCTGACAGATGGGTGGTGGGAACAGTTCCTACTACATAATAAATATTATGTTGTTGCCTATTATTCTTGTTAGTAATAATAATAAAGATGACAATAAGTAGCCCCACCTGTTCCGAATTTGGTAAAGTTAGGTTTGGCTGAAAAAGAACCAAAGAGCTCTTTTTTAAGAGCTTGACTTCTTCCCCACATGAAATACCCTAAGACCCTTAGCTTTTTCTCAGGGAAAAACCCTGGACCTCAACCCTGAAAAGTCAAAGAATTAGGCCTCATAAATTGTAAAAGCTAATTCCTAGCATAGTGGATATAACTGTAATGTCTTCTCTCTCTCTTTTTCATTTTGCAGGTATACACTTTACTTGACAATCACAACTTTCCTTTTCCCTTTACCTTTGATTTTGATGTGCTATATTTTAATTTTATGCTATACCTGGGAGCTGTATCAACAAAATAAGGATGCTGGATGGTAAGAGTTTGCCTTATTTTGCTTTATTTGTTTTTAATGTGTTTTTGTGTAGGTCTCTGAATTTATCCTACTTGGAGTTTCTTGAGCTTCTGGGGTCCTCATGTCTTTTATCAAATTTGAGAAGTTTTTGACCATTATTTTCTTCAGCTATTCTCTCTGCCCCTTTCTCTCTTTACTTTTGGGAATTCCATTATACATATGTTGACATGCATTTTTCTTCATTCTTTTTGCTATCTGTTCCTAGGAAATAATTTTGTTTGATCTACCTTCAAGTTTTCTCATTCTTTCTTCTGTCTACTCATATCTGCTCTTAAACTATTTCAGTGAATTTTTTATTTCAATTATATTTTTCAGCAGTAAAATTTTCATTTGACTCCTTTTTGTAATTTCTCTCTTTACTGATATTGTCTATTTGTTATCATTCTTCTGATTTCCTTTAGTTCTCTGTCCATGGTTCCTTTAGCTATTTGAGCATATTTAAGAGCATTGATGTAAAGTCTTTGTCTAGTAATTCCAATGTCTGCGCTTCCTTAGGGACAATTTATGTTCATTTCTTCCTTTATTTTGTTAATGAATCATAGTTTCTTGGGTCTTTTTGTTTTTTTGTTGTTTTTGCATGCAGCATAACTTTTTGTTGAAAACTATTTTGAATATTATGATATTAAGGAAAAAAGGAAGAAATATTCTCTAGGTCTTTTCAGAAAAGAAGAACTGTTCCCTAGGCTCTGAGGTGAGGGCACTCCCTCAGTGTTTAGTCAGGCCACCTATAACTCTGCTGTACCTTTCACTTCTTGCTTGACTGGAGCCTAAAGACCAGCCAGAAGTACTAACCTGGGGTCTTCTAAAGTCTTTCCTGGGTGTCCATCCTGTGCTGAGCATGTGTGTGGCTTTCTTGGTTCCCATATACATAGCAACTTTCAGCACGTGCATTAAAAAAACAAAAACCAAACTCATGGCCATCAAGTTGATTCCAACTCATAGCCACCCCGTTGGGTTTCTGAGGAGGTAAATCTTTATGGAAGTGGATTGCCTGGTCTTCCTTCCAGGGGTGGCTGGTGGGTTTGAACCACCAGCCTTCTGGTTAGCAGTCAAATGCCTTAGGCACTACACCACCAGAACTCCTTCAAAGCATGCTTTATCCTCAAAAATTACAACTCCTTGGTTTTTCCTCCCAGGCATTCAGAATATCTATTATTTGCTCTAATTGTTACTTTTTGCTCCAGGTAGTAAACTGTTTGCCTGAGCTGCTATCTTTGCCTCAGATGGGAGTGACTTCTTCATTTATTTTCATTACTTTCATGGACCACATAGCCAAAGCTGCTTCACCTTGATAAAGTTCCAAGTAGGCCAAATAAAGAGAATCTGCTTGTGACAGTCTTCTGGGGAAACCTCAGTCAGTTCAAAACTGAAGGGGCAGAGGAGGAGGGGAACCTGCCATCGAGTCAATTCGACTCCGTAGCCACCCTATAGGACAGAGTAGAACTGCCCCATAGGGTTTCCAAGGCTGTAAATAGTTACAGAAGCAGTCTGCCTCATCTTTCTCCTACAGAGTGGCTAGTGGGTTCAAACTGCTGACCTTTTGGTTAGTAGCCGAATTCCTTAACCACTGTGCAGCCAGAACTCCTCAGGTCAAAACAGACAAACACAGTTTCTTGGGAATAAGACCTACTGTGCTCTCTCCAGAACCAGGATCCAACACCAGAAACATGGGCTCCCACTTTCAAAACTACTGTGATGCTGGGGAGGAGGGTGGAGCCTAGGTAAGTTAAACACCAAAAAGTGTTTCGACCCTGTTTCAGTGACCTTTCTTCTGGCAAATGTTTGGTTGCTGTAAACCTTTGACTATCTTCAAGAATTCTGATAAGATTGATTTTGAGAGTTTTTGCCAACTTTTTCAATGTTTTTGGGGAGGCACTGCCCCAGAGGTCTCTATTCCACCATTTTCATTAATGTCACTCCCTACTTTACAACTAAAGTAAAATAAAAATTAACCTGAGAATCTGCAATGGCAACTTAAGTAACAGTCACTTGAAACATTCTCCACTTGGATATATGGGCATTAATATAAATTTATATAAGGCATTTTCTGAAAATAAGACATGTTTTGAAGCAGCTGTCTGAGGATCTTTCAGTTATGAATGTTGGAATCACTAATGCAATGGTATCATTAAAATATGAACGGAACTGAAGTTTCTCTTTAAAGAATATAATATTTGTCATCAACAAATGCTATTTAAATTTTTTAGTTGTACATTTTTCAGAGTTATGTGAATATGTAAATATCTTAGATGTTATGAGCAGCCTTTAATTTTTGTGAGTTTTTTAATTTAGAAGAGAAGGATCTGATTAATTTTACATACTTACTGGGAAATTAACTAGAAGTAAATGAAATCAAATACTTGCCTTCCTTGAGACAACAAACTTGGGAAAGACTTTTAAGGTATTCGTCTCTAAAACTGCATGATAAATCTAATTATTGAAATTTTATATATCAAATTGTTTAAATGAGTAAGTAATTATCTAATATGTTGAGTCAAAATGATTACAAAAATTCATCTTTTGAATAGATTTTTGTGTTTCTTTTGGAAGGGAAGGTTCCTGGGCTTTCTCTGTATACCACATGTAACACTTGGAAGATTAAAAAAAATAAAATAAAATATGTACACAATTTAATCACTATTAGCCAAAATCTGCAGCAAAGCCCTGATACCAATAGTTTAAATGATTTATGGCTCACAATCTTTTTCCCATTTAGTTTCTTGAAATTCTTTGATAATCTTATATTTTTAAAGGATAGTCCATTTAGACTGGGAAAGGAAAGAAGCCATAGTTATAGGAGAGGGAAAAAAAGCTTCTGAATGATTGAAATGGAATCAGATGGAACACTAAGACACTGAAAGTTGGAGAGGATGTTTGAGAGCTTTTAAAGCAGTTCTCCAAATCAGATCATTTTGCCCCTAACACTTTTCTCAAAAATGCTAAGAGCATCTTAAGAAACAAAGTTTGCACAGTTCAGATATGCCTCAAAATACAGAAGTTGGAGGAATTGTGCCTACTCTGATAAACTGCAGAGGAATCACTGTTTTCAAATTATTTTTAGCTGACTTACTGTTTTCATATTATTTCATATTATTTATATATTATAATCTGCCTCAACTATGACCCCAGGGAGATTTCTGTGAATGTTTAAATATGAAGTAACATGACAAAATTTGAGAACTTTTTAATTTTGTTTTATTTTGAACTAATTTTAAATTTACATAAAATTTGCCAAGATAATATAGACAGTTCCCATACACTCCTGAGATTACAGCTGCAGGTATAGCTTCATATTAACTTCATGCATAATACCTCTGACTATAAGAATCAGAAAAAGCTATGCTATGAAGTGGAGGTCAAATATATCTCCACTTTTTAACTTCCCCATTATTTCTGACATCAGCCATACCTAAGCACTCTCCCTGCTAGGTTCCATAATTTATTGCAATGCTCAGAAAACTCACAGTATCATACATGCAATAACTACTTTAATATAACAAAAAGATGAAAATATATATATAAAGAGAAATGAAGGTATGGTGAAGTGAGATCCAAGAGGGGAACCAGCACAGGGGGCCTCAACATCTCAAAGGAGCACGCTTATCCTCCTGAGAACAGAAGTTCACATTCAAATGCCCCATGATGTTTCTCTGCAGCAGACATGTTCCCTGCTGGTGCAGCTCTGCCCCACTCTCTGAGCCGGTGCATTGCCTCTGCTGCTTCAGGCACCATCATTGCGGCCATCCACAGTTCTAAGCGGGTTAGAGCTTTTACCTGGGTCTGGAGGGTTTCAAGTGCAGTGCTTCTGTGTCCTGATGAAGATGTCACCCTCTCAGCTTCCAGCCAAAAAACCCTCAAACCTCTATGTTTCAGTCCCTCATACAGGGCATATCTCATCAGTTTTAAGGGTAGGATCTCCGTAGCTGGATTGGAGCCCAACCAGTCCTTGATTACCTAGGAAATGTTAATCAACTTAAGGCTTGTCAATTGCCAGCAAGCAGACCAAACAAAAATATCAAACCCGCAAGTACTAAAAAGGAAAAAAAAAAAAAATTGGGAAATCTCCTAAGCCATTTTTCCAAGAAACAAGTGCAAAAGGCCAGGTGCACAAAGGAACTCATTGCAACACAACTGCATACTCAGTTTCCTCATTATTTCCTCATTATTAACATCTTACATTACCATGGTATGTTTGTTAAAATAAAGAAACTGATGTTGGTACGTTGCTATTAACTAAACTCTGTTGTTGTTGTTATGTGCTGTGGAGTAGGACCCGACTCATAGCAATCCCTCCTTGGGTTTCCAAGGCAGTATCACTATGGAAGTAGATTGGCCAACCTTCCACCCGAGGAGTAGCTGGGGGGTTTGAACCGCCAGCCTTCTGGTTAGCAGTCAAGTGCCTTACGCACTATGATACCAGAGCTCCCAACTAAACTCTAGACTTTATTTAAATTTCACTAGTTTTCCTATTAAAATTCTGTTTCTTTCCAGGATCCAATTCAGGTCATCACATTGCATTTAGTTATTATTGGTTCTTCCTAGTCTCCTCTGGTTTGTGACAGTTTCTCAGTCTTTCCTTGTTTTTCATACCTGACAGTCTTCAAGAGTACTATCCAGGTATCCTATAGTATGTCCCCCGATCTTGGTTTGGAAAACATTAGCTCTTCTCATCACATGATGTTAGGGAATAACCTAATAACCTACCTGATAGCCACTTGACTTCACTGATGATGTTAATCTTGATCACTTGCTTAAGGTATTGCCAGGTTTGTCAACTATAAAGTTATTCTTTATCTCTTTCTCTGTTATTTTGAAGTGAGTCACCAGGACTAGCCCACCTTCAAGGAATGGGCAGGGAAACAGGAATTAAGCTCTACTTTCCAGAAATGGCAGTATTGTTAGTTGCCATTGAGTTATTCTAACTCATGGGAGGATCTACATATATTATTTGGAATTCTTCAGTCAAGATTTGTCTCCTCTTTCCATTTTGTTTTTTTCAAAATAGATGCATGTATATTTATTTTGTACTTGGGGTAATAATTCTATACTCTGTTCTTCATTTTATTTCTCAGATTGTTTCAGCTTTAGGAAGTTTTTAACAGGAATAGAAAAGAATCTTCACAACACTCTGAATAAGTAGAAATAAAAATGAGCTTCATATTTCACTCCAAAGCTATTATGACCTGTTCCAAAGTTCTAAGAAATCATTGCCCCATCATTTCTACTGTTGCTTATGTTAACGTCTATTCCAATGTTTCCTTTCCAGTTACAATCCCAATGTTCCAAGGCAGAGAGTAATGAAGCTGACAAAGATGGTGTTGGTGCTGGTGGCAGTATTTATTCTAAGTGCTGCTCCCTATCATGTGATACAGCTGGTGAACTTACAGATAGAGCAGCCCACACTGGTCTTCTATGTGGGCTATTACCTTTCCATCTGTCTTAGCTACACCAGCAGCAGCATTAACCCTTTCCTCTACATCCTGTTGAGTGGAAATTTCCGAAAGCGTCTGCTTCAAATTCAAAGGAAGATGACTGAGAGGAAAATCAACAATATGGAAAACACATTGAACTCAAACTTTTAAGAGAACCAATGGATCACTGAAAGTGTAGATAAGCTTGTCTTTGTTATTAGGGTTATTGGAAAGGCAGGTTAGATGGTATGTGTGTGCCCATTATTCTTGTGTATTTGTGACTCTTGATATCATGCAACAGAATTGTGACCAGCCATTCAAATGCAATGAGTTTAATGTGCTAACTTTAGTAAGATGTAAATGTTGATCAATATTAGGCATGGGGAGTGTGATAGTCTAAGATACCTGAGCTCCACTGTCATATATGTTGTTGGAGTATGTGACAGACTACTCACTGGAAAAAAAAAAAAAAATCTGTCCATGACTATCTACTGAAAACTCAAAAAGGAACCTTCAACTATTCGCCTTTGCCACTCAAACAGTGCCCTCCAAGTTCCAAGAAAAGGACCATCTTACAATGAGGTCTGATATTCAGCTATTTTTGACCCACAAAAAGAGCAATTTCATATAGTTTAATCCAATACATTCAATAATCAAGCACCACCTTTTAGCTTAATAGTCACAGTCTATCATACACATGCAATGTGTAAGTTTCCATGTAGCAAACTGTCAGGTAAGCATTATTACTGCAATTTACTAAGGCACAGAAAGGTTAAGTGACAAGCCTAAAGCTACACAGCTACAGCAAGGCTGAGATGATATCCAGATCTTCTTGATTTTGTCTCCTTCCATGTCCCATGGTGTCAATCTGTACCTAACATCCTGGAGACAGCCAGTAATGGAGTATCTTTTACTTTCTCCTGCAACCCCACAAGAAAAGATCTAAAGTCTGAAATAAATGAGTAGAAGATACAAGCACACACTTTTGGATTTAGCCTTGTTCTCAGCCAACTATAGAAACCAGCATTGGCAGTTTAATAATAGTGATCTTCACTTCAGGATATACATACACTTAGACACATTCTCTTTAGGTTACAGTATCTGTCCAAGGATATAAGCAGTAAATAACCCTCAAATTCAAGATATTCATTATATCCATCTTTCCTTTTTGGCTTCTATACAACATGCCCTTCTATGTAGTTTATGTTGTTGTTGTTGTTGGTTACATGCCATCGAGTTGGACCCGACTCATAGCAACCCCTCCTTAGGTTCCCAAGAGAGTATCACTATGGAAGTAGATTGCCCAACCTTCCTTCAGAGGAGTGACTGGTGGACTTGAACCACCAACCTTCTGGTTTGCAGTCAAGTGCCTTAGATACTATGCTACCAGAAGAAAGAAAAAAATGTTTTTAAAAGCTTATATTCTCCATAAAGGCATATATTGTGACTTTGTATGTAGGTGAAATTTTTAACCCCACCTCCTTCATCTCATTACATAAAATTGCATCTAAGTGCATAAAATTGGACATCTGAACCTGATTTTTAATAAGCCCTTTGTAGAAAAAGAATCACAGGGACCATCTTTTAAAATAACCTGATCCCCATTTTTAATATCTCAATCGCATTTGAATCTAATTATAAAACCAAAAGACTGACTTTTAACCCAATATATTTGGTTCTAAATCTTTTAGACACTATTTTGGCATGAGATAATATCTAAATGCTTATCTGGAAGATTGGGTGTATAAACAACCTAAGAGCTACTAACTCAGACAAGGCCTATCTGAGATGCTTTAGATGTATAGCTGAGTCTGGAGAGCTACACACAGAGGCTACATGATCCTTCATATTTGCCATCAAAACTGTACTGTGGCTACAGTTCCAGGGACCTTCATTCTTACTTCTCTCAGATACAACAATCAGGGTTCAGGCAATAACCCTGCATCTGAAGACCCCAAACAAAAGATCATAAACAGATGTTACAATTTGATAATTGAAGAGTAATTTTGCTTCCAAATATTTTTAATACAGAAAATACGATTATAATATTTAAATGGTTTTAAACTAACAAACATTTTCCTATAGTGTTTCCAGTAGGTCTTAAATAATTCTAATATACAAATTCATCAATGAATTATTTTAATTTATATTTATTAAGAATTTTAAAGACTTTTAGCATTTAATCAAAGTACAAAATTTTTCCTCTGTATAACTTTTCTATACGCACATTTATCTGCAGAGGTGGTTTGACAGAAATTCTCAGTGTTTTGCATTATTGTCCTTGTTATATATATATATGTTTACTTTCAAATGAAGTTAATAATGTCCAGTTTTTCATATCTAGGGAATATGTGGGTGTTATTATATAAAATTGTAATTGTATCCCTCCTCTATGCTTATTCAATTTTAGTTGTCTCATTTAAACTGTCATCATTGGTTAATATAAATAAATGAGTGAAAATTGCCTGTATATTAATATACTGCCTTATAGCTTCTACTTTTAATGTTTTCTTATAAAAAAGGATTTTAGATCTCCTTAACAAAATACTTTCTCCTGCACCAAGAACAAAAATTTCAGAATTAGTGACATATGTCCTAAATATAACCAATATTATGAAGGCATTCATTACCATCCTATATTCTCAGTCAGCTAGACACTTGTATTATTTACTCTGAAGTCCCAGAAGTTTCTAGGTTTCATGAGTTATAGAGTCCTGGCACTTTGGATCTGAAATATATTCTAGAAATTATCAAGTGTTACAAATAAGAAAAATAAACCCCAGATGGATCAAATTATTTTTGACACAGTGAAGTGTATGTTGAGACCCATACCTAATGAGTACCTAGAAACCAAGTCCTGAGTTCTCTCTACTAAACCATAATTCCTCCTTTGTGAAAGAAACAGTGGGTAAAATCTGGTAAGACAATTATTGTTGACACTTAATGGTTATAACAAATTCCTGGAAGTTTAGTAATTAAACAAAGATTGTATAATCATGCTTTAAAAGTTGTAGAGTTAAAAAAAATATATCAACTAACTCCTCATAATTTACCTGGACTTCTGGTGGCAGAGATTAATTTTTTTGTTTACTTCACAGAGTTCTATGAAAACAGACCAAAGCAAACTAGGGAACTTAAGATTTTCTTTCATGGTCCCCAATATTTTGTTGATACCTCTCTATACCAAGAATTAGTTTATTTTGCAGGAAGCCTCTCCCTCACCTGCATCTAGGAACAGTAGTACAGTTATGACTCCTTTGTGCCTTCCCCCCACAGGACCTAATGATGGGCCCCAAAGAAACCCATGTCTTAATCCACAGAACCTGTGAATGTACACAAAGGAATACTATGTAACATTAAAGAATAATGAAGAATCCATGAATCACCTCATAACATGGATGAACTTAGAAGACATTATGCTGAGTGAAATAAGTCAATTAGAAGGACAAATATTGTATGAGTCCATTATTATCAAAAGTCAAGGAATGGTTTACACAGGGAAGGAAATTTTCTTATTGGTTACAAAGAATGGGAGGAGAAGGAAGGAAAAATTGCTTACTCGTTAAGGGACATGTTGGTTTGGGTGAAAGGAAAGGCAATAAAACAAGCCTATGAGCACAATATCACTAAAAAAAAGGAAGACACAGAGGTGCACAAGAGGTACAGACAATAAAGGTAAATACTATTGTTAGTGCTGACTAAGAACTCAACTCAAATTGAGTCGTGCCATGTCAGCAAATGGAAGTCCTGAAAGCTTTACTTTATCCATATCATTAAGGTTGGTTCCACTCTGATGCAGCTCTTTCCCACTTGTATTTTGAGTGCCTTCCAACTTGTTGTTGTTGTTGTTAAGTGCCGTCGAGTCGTTTCCGACTCATAGCGACCCCATGCACAGCAGAACGAAACACTGCCCGATCCCGCGCCAGCCCCACCATCCCTGCTATACTTGAGCCCATCATCGCAGCCACTGTGTCAATCCATCTCGTTGAAGGCCTCTCCCTCTTTCGTCGACCCTCCACCCTACCAAGCATGACATCCTTCTCCAGGGAATGGTCCCTTCTTACAACATGACCAAAATAGGTGAGACGAAGTCTGGCCATTCCTGCTTCCAAGGAGCATCCTTCCAACTTAAGGGGTTGGAACTTAATAATACTATTACATACACAATATATGAGTAATAGCAAACTAATCTATTGGTGGATACCTAAGAAGACAGGCAAAAAGATCCAGTATGAGTATGCAAATGGAATATACCCATGACCATATATAGGTTTGGTAGACAATATTCCCACATACATGTTTATGCACATTATAGAGCTAACAGGGGACAAAGTTAGGATAACTTCTTAGCCAGAAATAAACACCCTGAGTTAGTGAGTCACTGGGTCTGAAGGCTCAAGATCATGGTCACAGAGGACATCAAGCTCAATTGGCACAACACAGTACACAAAAACATTGTTCTACATCCTACTTTTGTGAGTAGCAGCTGGGGTCTTAAAAATTTGCAAGTGGCCATTGAAGGTGCAGCTATTGATCTCCCTTCATCCAGAGCAAAGAACAGTGAAGAAAATGAAAGTCGTATGGAAAGAATTAGTCCAAAGGACCAGTCGACCTGGGGAACCTCATGCTGTACAACCCTGAGACCAGAAGAACTAGATGGTTCCCAGCTACACTGCCAACCACTCAGGGATCAAAATTGGGGATCCTCAATAGAGTGGCAGAAAAATGTGGAATAAAACTTAAAAACATAAAAAAAAAAAAAAAACAGGATTACTAGTCCAATAGAGACTGGTGAAATCCCTAAGAGATGGCCCTTAGTCATGCTTTGGGCCTAGAATTGGACTCACTCTTGTGGTTCAACTTACAGCCAAATAATAGACCTATGAGCTGAGCAACTATACCAGGAAGATGCACTCCTTAGAAGAGTCAACCATGAGAGATCAGAAGGGCAGCATCTGCATATGGAGAAAGGTAAGCAGGCAAGAACACATAGGTAAAAACACAGGGAATGAGTACCCACAGGGAGGAGTGGGAGGAGAACTGTTAAATCATCAGGGTTGTAATCAGTGTCACAAACCAAAATGTATATGAACTACTGAATGTAAAACAAATCTGCTTGTAAAATTTCACCCAAATCACAACAAAAAGTTAAAAAAAAAAAGGACCAGTGA